CTTCCAGAGTCCCAACACAGCTGGCTGTGATTGGTCATTAAGTCAAAACAATTCACATGAAACCAATCAAACATCCACCTGTTGGATGAACAATCTCCAACCACATTCCAAAGCAGCAAAACACAGAGAAGCAATCAGACAATATTGTTTTCCTTTTTCTCTGAGGCTTCTCAGCTTCCCAGGAGAAAAATCTTGGGCAAGGGGATTTTTCCAGAAAATATGACAGTGACAGCACCCCACACCTAGAGCATGACTGAACAAGAGCAAAGCTGTGCTTCTTGCAGCCTAAGTGCCTTGAGAGAGGTGCTTTGCCCCACAAAGCTCCCCAAATTTACATCTGCACAGCTTTATTTATCACAGCCTTTTCCCAGTGCCTGGCACAGCACAGTCTTTTATGATTTCTCCCCAATTCCTGGGGTATGGGAATTCTCCAAGAAACTCACTTCACACCCAATCAAATGCTTCAAAACCAGAGAGGATTTCCACTCTTGGTTAAAAAATACAAACAAAACAACAGCCTAGGAGGAAGCCCATGCAGCCTGTACATTATGTGGCTCATAAATGCCTCAGCAAGGTAAACACACCAGCAAAAACAGACACAGTACCAAAAATATTCCTAACAAAGGCAGGAGGGGCCTGTGAGAAGTGAGCAGTGAAGGAAGGAGCATATGGCAGCTGTAGGAAGGCTGATGCATGTTTCTGTGGCATTCACTGAGATGCCATTTGCTTCCTTCTTTCTCCAGCTTTCTGCAGCTCCCGAGGTGCTGCTGAAATCACCACTGTCAGGGAATTTAATGGGTAACTCCCTGGTCCTGCAAAGCTTTAACTGTCCTGTAACTCCCCAGCTTGCTGGTGAAACGCAGTGAGCCCAGGGCTGCTGAGCTGCTGTGCTCAGGTGTCCAGCAAGGAGGAAAGCTTCACCCTGATGGCAGAAAGCAATGCCTGAGCTACATCTCATCACACCAGCTCACTAAATTGGTTTGTGAAGGGGGCTCCAGAGCACAGCAACTGCTGTAGGTGGGGACAGTGCTGCTGAAGGGTCCCAGCCCTCAGCAGTTCTTTGTCATGTGGGATTCCATGCAAAAATCCAAGCAAGCTACAGCAGAGCCTGTCCCTACACCACAGGCAGCGCGGAGGATCCGCAGCACGCTCATGGAAAGGTTTCATGGCTCTTTTACAGAGGGAAATGAGGCATTAAACTGGAGCACAGGTTCAGCTCTGGACTTGGGGGCTGCTCTGCCATTGCTCAGAGCCCTCCTGACCCCCAGAGATGCTGCAGAGCTGTGGTGTGCCCTGGCCTCCCCAAAGGAGATGTGCTGCTGTGGGGACAGCCTTGCTCACAGATCCCAGGTGAGTCCGTCCGGCTGTCTGTCTCTGCCTGGACACGGGTAGGATGGCTCTGGGACAGCCCGCGCTTCAAAGGACGAGTCTGCACTCTTCAGATTTTCAGTCTTCAGATTGTTTATTATTTCTTATCTGTAGAATTTTCTTTCTGCCCAACAGAGGTCTGACCAGCAAGGCAGCCAAGGGCACTCTGACCTCCCACTGGGCGGTTGTCTCTTTTTATACTAAAAACTATGTACATCATATTTACCTTTATTTCCCAATACCTTTCACCCATATTACCAAGTGCACCTTCACCCTGGACCAATCCCAAAGTGCCAACACCAGCACAGAAAATGGATGACAAGAAGAAGAAAGAAGGACAAGACACGCCCTGATCCCTCCATCTTGTCTCCATAACCCCCCTGTACCAAAACCCTAAAATCTGTCTTTCACTCTGTAAATACATCATTCTTACACCACTCATTCCCAAGTGACTCTCATGTCCTCAAACAGGTGGCACATCCCTCAAAGGGTCAAAGTCAAGCCACCAGGTGCTTTTGGCAACATTCCAAGATCTCCAAGCCCCACAAGGGTTGTCTTGGTAACTCTGGACATCCAGAGTGATGTGCTGAGTTCCCACAAGCAGGTGCCCAGTGCTCACCTGCACACACCTGGCCTGCAGACATCCTCACAGCACAGGGTGATGGACACCTGAGCCCTCTTCTCTGAGGTAAAAAGTCTCTGCAGCTTGGAAATGCTGCTGGAGAAGAAGGAGTTGCAAAAGCCAAAAAAGCCCCCACACAATGAAGTCACCCCTGCCTTGCCCTTCTGCTTGCAGAGGAAAAGAATAGCTGGAAATATTCAGCCTGGAAATGACAGACCGGCTGCAGTACTCAGACAACGAGCTAAACTCCCTCCTGCAAACCAGCCAAGACAGGAACAAAAGAAAAATCTTACTCTTATGAAATTAAGACACCAAGGACAAATTTGTTTTTCCATTCTGCCACATTCTCCTGAGCCAAACTGCCTCCTAAGATCATTTCTTTCCATTCCCTTTGGCACATAATAACCTGCCAACTGAGGAGCAAACTGAAATGCAAAGGAGCAGCACAGATGTGAAGCCAAAGCAGTGGGAAAGAGTGAAACAGCAGGAGCTGTGCTGGCCAAGGCTGATGGAGCCAGCAGGGTCCATTCCTCAGCATGGCCCCACCAGGAGCTGCCAGGGATCCCCACCAGGCAGCACCAGAGGGGCACAAAGCACCAGCCACGCTCTCATCTTTGCTCCCCCTTGTATTTTTGTTCTTTACGTAAAACATCACTAAAAGTAGATTCAAAATAGATAGAGGAAGAAATTTTTTACAGCGAGGATGCCCAGAGAAGCTGTGGCTGCCCCATCCCTGGGAGTGCTCAAAGCCAGGGTGGATGGAGCTCTGAACAACCTGCTCCGGTTGCCTGTGTCCCTGCTCAGTGCAGGGTTGGGTTAAATGACCCCTAAAGGCCCCTGCCAACCCAAACCACACTATGGTTCTGGAATTTCAGAACCCGAACTTTCAATTCAATGAACAAAGAATTTAACTTAGCAGTAATATTTTATAAGAGAATATCATTAACTGCATTTTTTTACCTGATACCATGAACTTAACTCAGTTTGTAATTGCTTGTTGGGACAATATTTTTCAGTGCCAAATTCAAAGGAATAGGCAGCCCAATGAGAACTCAAGGATAGAAAATGGAAATAATTCAGCTTCCTCATATTGCCCCATGAACTCAGGGTGCAGCTCCCTGATTTACACAAACCTCTGGCTGCTTTGCAGGACAAGACAAGCCAGGACCACAAGCCAGCTGCTTTCTGCTTTTGTTTCACTGTTTTAGCCAGGTAGTGAAACTCCCACAAATATAAACTTCATGCAAGGACACCTGCCCTCCCCAGAGCCTCTTCCTCCATGAAAAATGGGGGAAGCCTAAATTACCCAGCTTATCCTGAATAAATTCCTTACATCCCATATGCAGGGCTGGTCCTGGGAGGGGGAGCAACGACTGGAGCTCCACATACAAAGCTGGAAATCAAGCTCAGATCAGCAGCCTTGTGTGGCCAGCAGGAAAAATCCCCTTGGGAATTATGTCTGCATGTATGATAAGGAATTATAACACAGAGCAGAGACAGGGAAGCACACACAGCCACCAGCCCACGGCTCAGCCCTTTGGAGAGCCCAGCAGGTGAATCCCAGCCCTGCTCTGTGGTGCTTGTGAGGGGCTCCAGGACAGGGGAAGACATGAATCTGAAGGCTGATATATTAATATTATATTTATATTATGTTATGTTATGTTATATTATATATTATGTTATACTATATTATGTTATATTATATATTGTTATACTATATTATATTATATTATAGTATATATGATATACTATATATAATATATAGTATATATAATATATACTATATATATACTATATACTATATACTCTATACTCTATACTATATATAGTATATAGTATATAGTATATATATAGTATATATAGTATATATATACACTATATATACACATACACTATATATATACATACACTATATATATACACACTATATATATACTATAGTATATATATAGTATAGTATATATACTAATTATATTATATTATATTATATTATATTATATTATATTATATTATATTATATTATATTATATTATATTATATATTTTATATTATATATAATATATCATGTATCATATATCATATATCATACCATACCATATCATATCATTATGCTATACTAAAACTATACTAAACTATAAAGGGATACATCAGAAGGCTTCACAAGAATGAATAATAAAAACCTGTGACTCCTGCCAGAGTCCTGACACAGCTGGCTGGGATTGGCCATTAATTAAAAACAATTCACATGGAACCAATCAAACATTCACCTGTGGGTAAACAATGTCCCAGCCACATTCCAAAGCAGCAAACACAGGAGCAGCAAACACAGGAGCAGCAATCAGATAATTATTGCTTTCATTCCTCTCTGAGGCTTCTCAGCTTCCCAGGAGGAAATCCTGGGCAAAGAGGATTTTTCAGAGAATCCCACGGTGACATTGCTCAGGGGAAAAGGACATTTGTGCTCCTGTGCTCCCAGCCATTCCTCACCTGAAGGGCATCACCAGGCAGGCCACCAGGAAATCAGCCATGGCCAGGGACATGATGAACATGTAGGTGACCGTGCGCAGCCTCTTCTCCACCACGGGGCACAGGAACACCACGGTGTTCCCCAGCAGGGTCACCACGTCGATGAGGGTGAGGACGAGCCCCACCAGCACCTCCTGGAGCCCAAGCCCTCCCCGTGCCAAGGAGGAGGCAGCAGAGGAGAAATTGGAGAGCCAGGATCCGTTCCTGTCCGTCAGCATCTTCCCGCTGCTAAAATCTAAAAATCTAAAAGGGCAGAAGCACAATTTCCTCAATGATGGTTTGTAGGTGTGGGAAAGGGAGGATGGAAATAAAATTTGCGCTTCATTTTCTCCAGGAAAAATCCACACACCCTGCTGTTGCTGTGTCCTGGGTTAGCAGCCCATTAGAAGTGTCAGAAATCCTGAGGGTGAGATAAATGTGAAGCATTGACTGAAGTCCTTCACAGCAATTAAAAGCCCTCCTGTGAATGAAAATGCATCATCAGATGAAGCATGAGACCAGGAAAAAAAAATAGAAACGTACTGAGAGCAGAGAGAGGGAAAGAAAACAACTGAAATCAAAAATTAAAGCAGCTGGGCTAAATCCCACTGAACAGCATGCCAAGTCCACATAATGTGGGGGCTGGAACTAAATGATCTTTCAAGTCCTTTCCAATCTAAACCATTCTGTGGCTCTGTATTCTCATTTCCATCTTTGCCACCCCCAGAGCAGCTGGGGCTGCTTGCCCAGCCCCACTGCTCAGTCTGTGCCATGCCCTGGGTTGTCCTGGTGCTTTTCCACACTCTGAATTTTGGGGGTTTTTTAGTGCCACAGTGGGCAGCTCCATCCTCCAGCCTGAATGGCCAAGCAGGGCTGCCAGCAGCTCCACAGGGAGCAGAATTGTGGAATCACAGAATGATTTGGGCTGGAGGATTGTCACTTTGAGGTGTCTCAGGTGCAGCCCTGACCCCACAGTCAGGTTCCCTCTGTGCCCAGATGGGAAGTGATGCTCCCAATTCCTTAATCCCCCTTAACGGGGATTTTTCTGTTGAGGAAATCCACGTTTGTGTCCACAGCTCAATTCCCAGACTCTACCAAGTAGGTGGGAATGATGCCCTGCAAAAACTCCAGCAGTTCAAAGCTCACTGGTGTAGCTCAGGGAACACAAAGACAAAACTTGTGGGGAAAAGAGAGTTACAGAAATATTTCCTGATGAAAAATTGCTATATTTGAATATCATCACTTCTCCTGTCACCAGGATCTGCTTCCACAGGACCCTCAGGTGAATCCCACATCTCTGAGTGCAGTGTGAGGGTGGGCCTGGATAACATCCCCATAGCCCAGCTTGCCTCATCTCACAGGGACCAAACTTTGTCTTAGGAGGGGTGTAAGAACAAGGCAGCAAAATGTTCCCAACATCTCTCTGTCCTTCCTGCAGCCTTTGGTCCAGAATTACCTCTTAAGATGGTTTCAATGATTTCTGAATCATGAAATTGTCCTGCTTCCCCTCTGGCCCAGCAACTTTTTAGCATCCATCATCTCCTGTGGTAACAACTTCCACAGCTCAGCTCTGCACCCTGCCAAGAAACCTCCTTGTGTGGGAATCCATGAAATCAGAGGGTTTTGGGAAAGCTGCAAAAGGCAGCCTCAGACACTGCAGAACTGTGATTAGAGCTATGCAGCAGCAATGACATTGGTCAGCAGAAAAATTATGTAAGAAGTAGAAAAGTAAGGACAATTAGAACACTGTTCTGTGTATTAGTGCTTGTCTAGAATAACTCCCCAAGCTGCAGAAAAGTTTATCTAGTGAGATATTAGGAAGTTCTAAGCTTGATAACGGAGCTCTGTGCATTGTGTTTGAAGGCTCACAAGCAGGTATTGTATTTGAAATAAGCCAGCATTGTTTTAACAAAGGTACATGTGCTTATAGTGGTTGGGTAAATCTACTGTCAATGTGCTTCTGCTTTGTGTGATTGGTCATTAAGCTTTTAAAGTGAGTCTGTAAATATCACTATTTCATGATTCACAATCTCTAGAACCCAACATATCCCAAACCCTATCCCTATGAAGAGCATCCTTGACCTCACTGTGAAAAATGCATATTTTATTATTGGCTTTTCACAAATATTAAAATGAATATTATATGTGTTGTGTTAGAAAGTTATGCTGTATTAAGAAGTGTGTTAAATATAGTTTTATGTTATAACAAAATGTTAAAATAGAAACTATGCTATATAAGAAACTTTTTTTTAAGAAAGGACTTGCACTGAGATAGCAGCCACAGGACACCTGAATCTTTCAGAGAAAGAGAATTTATCGCTCCATTATCAGAAGAAATGAACTTCTTCCCACCTTGCCCAGCCCTGAAGATGCCGTCAGGATTCAGAGGAAGAAGCTGACACTGCCCAGACAGAATCCTGTGTTTGAATGGGATTTATGCATCATGTATGAGATGTATGAATATGCAACAGGCTATTTAAGAATTAATCCTCTGTTAATGTGTGTCCTTTTTTGGGCTTATTTTGCCCAGAAAGAGGTACCTGGACTGTCGGTAACTCTTTGTTCTTATTGTCTCATATTGCCCCAAATTCTGATTGTCCAAATTATGATTACTCTAATTATATTACTATTTTTATAACCATTTTACAACTATTAAACTTTTAAGATTTTAAAAACGAGTGATTGGCGTTTTTCACACTCACCATGCACTTACCCCTCCTGCATGTCGCCTTTCAGACAAGTATTTTAATGTGGGAAATGGATTTGTAGATCTCTAAAAATCCATTTCCCACATTTTTTCCACACAGGGAACTTTCTTCTTAATTCAGGGCTATTACATTTCCTTAAAAGCCCCCACCGTGAGGGATTATATTGAAAACCTTCCAGAATTCCTACACCACCCAGGTGTTTCTTTTCCACCTGCTGAGCTCTTCCAAACATTCCTACACAACTGTGAGGCCGGGCTGCATTTTCTGAAAGCAACAGTGCCCTTGTTCTTGGATGTAATTATGTGCTCATGCACCAACTCATCCTTCAAAATCCTCAGCTCCATCCCCTGGCTTCTGTTTATATGCTGGATTTAGTGGTTTCTTTTCTTTCAAGTAAAAATTAAGAAAATTGAAAAACAAAATTTAGGGAAGACTCAAGCTGTCTAGAAAAGAAAAAATAAAGAAGGAAAGCTCTTCCTCACTGGAGCTGGGAGCCACTGGCTGAGACCTGAAGCTCTCCTGCTCCTCCAGCGCTGAGAACAATCAGGTTTTTGGATTTTTGGACATCACCTCAGGCAGCCCCCTGGGCCAGCACTGCTCAAAGTCTGCAGGGTGTCTTAAGTACCTCAGTCCTAATGAAAATGTTCCTTGGACACCATTCCACATCCTGGTAACACCCCATAAAAATAAAATAAAATAAAAACTCTAGTCTCCAGCTCTCCCATAATTGCCAGGAGAGGGGATAATGTGTGCCATTCTTCCTAACTGCTCCACTGAGGGTGGCATCAGGCTGGAGGGGCTCCTGTGGAACAGTTGGGTTTCAATGCAGTTTCCTGGCAGAACGGATTGTTCAGGAACTGTTCTCCTTCCTGTGCGTTCCACACAGACAGCTCGGGGACTGCGGGATTGGAAATGCACAGGGACAGGGGTGGGGAATGCACATGGACAGGGATGGGAAATCCACAGGGACACTGTTGGGAAATTCACATGGACATCAGTGGGAAATCCACATGGACATGGGTGGGAAATGCACAGGGATATGGGATGGGAAATGCACATGGACACAACTGGGAAATCCACAGGGACAGGGGTGGGAAATGCACATGGGCAGGGATGGGAAATCCACATGGACATGGGTGGGAAATGCACAGGGATATGGGTGGGAAATCTACATAGACACAACTGGGAAATCCACAGGGACAGGGGTGGGAAATACATATGGACACAGGTGGGAAATCCACATGGACACAGGGATGGGAAATTCATATGGACACAGGGATGGGAAATCCATATGGACAGGGGTGGGAAATCCACAGGGACAGGGGTAGGAAATCCACAGGGACAAGGGTGGGGAATGCACATGGACATGGGTGGGAAATGCACATGGACAGAGGTGGGAAATCCACATGGACACTGTTGGGAAATCCATATGGACATGAGTGGGAAATCCGCAGGGATGCAGCTGGGAAATCCACAGGGACAGGGGTGGGAAATCCTCAGGGACACTGTTGGGAAATCCACATGGACAGGGGTGGGAACTCCACAGGGAAATGGGTGGGAAATCCTCATGGACATGAGTGGGAAATCCACAGGGATGCAGCTGGGAAATCCACAGGGGACACAGGTGGGAAATCCACAGGGACAGGGGTGGGAAATCCTCAGGGACACTGTTGGGAAATCCACATGGACATGAGTGGGAAATCCACAGGGATGCAGCTGGGAAATCCACAGGGACACAGGTGGGAAATCCACAGGGGACAGGGGTGGGAAATGCACAGGGACAGGGATAGGAAATCCACAGGGACAGGGGTGGGAAATCCACAGGGAAATGGGTGGGAAACCCACGTGGACACAGCTCATGGCCACACGGGAGCCAGGCTCCAGAACCCGCCTCTCCAAGGGCCATTCCCTGCTCCACAGCCATCTTCCATCTCATCTCCCACACCTGCTGGTCTCCTCGCACCTCTGGCACCTCCACAAGATCTGGAAAATGCCCTCTGACCCCACCTGGAGTTGACCCTAACCAGTTCAAACGCTTGAGCACCACCCCATGAACCAAAAGTTCTCCCAGGAGAGCATGCAGCATTAGGACAGGCTCCTGAACATGAACAGCAATACATCAGGTTTGATGAAAAATCAGTGTTTAAAAAAAACCAAAAAAACTATGTCAAAAATTAAAGTTTAAAACATTTGGTCTTCAGGTTTTAAAAATGACTGTCAAATTTTTGTTCATGGGTAGGTGAGAATGATAGATGAGAATTCTGGATTAATTATTTGGGGTTTTTTAGATGTAACACTGAGACAAGAAGGTTTTGAAGTCACACCTTCCTGCAAAGAATGACTGCTCCCACACGGTCATTAAGTTTGTATCAGCCTTAGAATGACTCTAATTAAAGCAGATCATTACTCACAGTGCTCTGTGAACACACACCACTCTCAAACTTGGAGCAGAATTAGGACACGGTTATTAGAACTCCTCTTTGCCAGCTCTTTGTGCTCCTCAAGCACCATCTCAGCCTGGGTTAAAGGTCTGCTCCAGTGAAAAACTCACAGCAGCATTGTCCTTAATGCAGGACACATCCAGGAGTGTGGCAGTGCACAAAACCACCAGACAGATGTGCTCACACTCACAAAACCCCAGAGAAACACTCTTTTGTCATTTTTTTTTTCTTTTTATCAGAGGCTGAGGGATTGGAAATAAGGCTGTCTTTATTTGGCATCCATGTCTCCAACTATAAAACCAAGAGATGACGGATTCTTGAAACTTCATGTTTGAACCTTGAACTTTAATTCAGGGTTCCTGCTGCTCCTGATCCCTTTTAAAAATCCCCTGTCAGAGTCCCTGGAATCTCATCCCCAGCCCCTGTCAGAGCCAAGCAGCCCAAGGTGGGTGTCTGGATCCTTTTGCCTCTGACTGAGAATCCAACCTTTATCCAAAGTGTGCTAAATAAATAAGTTAATTAAAAAATGCTGCTCTCAAACTGCCTGGAGAATTGTCATCACAGGGAACCCATCTTAACCTCTTTGTAGAAATTATTGGGACAAATCAGGAAATGCCATCATTCCCCACTTCCTCAGCTTAAAATATTGGAGCTCTTAAATACTCCTGAGAGCTGCAGCAGCCCCTGTGGTTACACTGCTGAGAGAGCCCAGACTCTTTCTACAACATCATTCAGTCTTTGCTGTAAGAGAAACCTTAAACCAAAGGGATAAATGCCCAGTTGTACCATGATGTGGGATCTTCCCAGTTTTCCTGGGAATCTCAGATGCTTTAGAGTTTTCACTGGTCTTTTTGTTGTTTTGGGTTTTTTGGTTTTGGTTTTTTGGGGGTTTTTTTTGTGGTTTTTTTTGTGGTTTTTTTTTTTTTTTTTTGTTTTTTTTTTGTTTTGTTTGTTTTTTGGGTTTTTTTTTTTTTGTTTTTTTGGTATTACGGGTTTACTTCCTTTCAAAAAACTGATGGATTGGATTCTGCTCTGAGGCTGCCTGAGCAAAACAACTCCTCCATTTCTGTTCCCCTTCAATATCCAGAAAGTTTGACCTAATGTATTCAGCAGACAAATCCCAAGCTAAAGGTTAATTTCATCAGTGAAAGGCATATTTTGATGGTAAGAGAGGGAAAAAAAACCAAAACTCAACTCTGCAATCTTGAGGCTGACTGCACTTTAAAATCTTAGAGCAATGATGAAAACTGGAAATATATCAGTGGGAATTATTTTCTGCCAGGCTCTGCTGCTCTGCTGGATCAGGCGCAAACCAGCAGGGAGCAATGCCTGCCCCAGGACCTCACACACCTTTCCCTCCTCCTCCTCCTCCTCCTCCTCCTCCTCCTCTTCCCCATGGGAGAACCGCAGCGCTCGGTGATTGCTGGGCAGCTCCAGCGGTTTGTCCAGCTGTGGGTGGTGATAAAGGAGGGGAAATGCCTGGGGATGCTTCCACCAGAGCAGCCGTGAGCCTCTGCACTGACCCTCCTTCCCTCT